GGGGCACATTTGTAACGTCGTTTTCGTATTTAAGGGAGAATCCTGACTAATTTTTCAACTACTTTCGAAGGAGTGTTGCTTCATCTGATGAATTAACAGCAAAAGTTTCTGATAGGATAAGATCGCAAAAGATACCAGATTAAGAGTCTCCATAATCCCACTAGAAATGTTTTCTCCTTGTCATCCAGCTCCAAAAATCCATCGGAAAACATTTCACAGATTATAATCCATGCAGACCTGTTTTTGACTCTTTCATGGTATAGGTATATTTCTGAGGAAATATCCCATATCTCTGGGAACCAACCCCTTTACTGCATCAATGAATAATTCTATATCCAAATCTTCAGAAGTTCTAGTAGCAGCCATCCTTTTTTGCGTCAATTTGCCGCAAGTGTGTACCAGCCGATATACAAACGAGTACTACAAAACCGCAATAGCGGCAGCGGTGCCGCCACGGTTCCGTAGGGACCTGCGGTTCAAAACGGTCGCCATTTGGACGCGCGGCCCCGCGGCGGCGCGCAGATGAATGTGCATTAACCCATTTACCTGTTAGTACTTTAAGCTGCAATTGCGGTGCCGCAGCGGAGATTGCCGCAAGTGTGCACCGGCGCTAAGCCGCAATTGCGGTGCCGCAGCAGCGATTGCCACAAGTGTGCACCGGCGCTAATACTTGACCAAAGATATATTTATATAAATGCATATTTTACAACTGAACAGAAAAAAAACTGCATGCTCAATCTTATGAGTGATATTAAAATGAATGTGTCTTATTGTAGGAACAAAGAAAAGGAGCTACGAAAAAAGAGAAAGGACCAAAGGTTGTGGACGATAAGCCCTCAGATAAACCAAAATCCAGGTAATTTTCTAAAAAATAATTTTATGGTCCTTTTTACATCATCATAAGGTCATCCGAATCCGAATGCACCTCCACCATCTTCGCATTTCCCTAAAATTAAAATATCCCACGAACAACAATCTAATTTAAGTTTACTTCAGTCCCTCTTTATCTTTTTTCGTCTTCTCCTACTTCTAATATGTCTCTTATTAATCCTTCATGACTCAGAAAGTGTCATACCTATCATACATAAGCAAATACATCATTTTCCTCTTCGTTTATTAATTGTTCTTCTAATAATACGTCATTATTGTTAACCTTTTCTATCCACGACATCTTCATCTGTCCCTAAGATGATATCTCTAACGTTATTTATTTACAGTAAGATAATAGTGCGTAAATCTCCTTGAAAATTTTCCCATGTATTACGAACAGATGACAAGTTGGTTTTTTATTTGGGAAAACTTTTTTCAAGCGTAATATGCACATGCGTTACTGCGAATAAATTATCGTAATTAATGTATTAATATATATGATATCAAAAATTTTTATCAAACCGTAAAATAAACACTTTCATGATTGATTATGATTTTCTATGTAGATCTTGATTATGATTTTGAGTGTAGATATTTTATAAGAGTATAGATTAGTAAAAGATTAGCAAGCCTAGATTTGAGAATGATATGGCAGTGTTAGCATCTAGCGAGGAGAAGTTACAGTTATCATATGAAAATTCATAAAAATAAAATAAAAGTATTGACATGTAGGGCATGAAAAAGTAGAGCTAGAACTAATATAAAAATAGGAGACGATAAACTAAAGAAATGATATGCAGGGAGCATGATATCTCGTAATGAGAGATCGGATAATTTGGAAATTAAAAAAAGGTTATTAAACGTGTTGAGGTAAATAAAAGATTAAAAGCTTTTGAGATGTGGTATTATAGAAAAGGACATAGAAATGGTTGGAAATGTGAAGTAGGAGAATAGGGGGTGTTATGGAAATCAGTAGGGAATAATTGAAATAAATTGGTAGTAATTTTTTAAGACATGAAACGCTAATTAGAGAAATATTACAAGTAGGAAAAGGAGTTAAGAGGGGGTAGATGTAGACCTAGTTTAGATTACTATTCGCAAATAGTTAAATATTTGGAGTTGCTGAAGTTTTCTTGAAATACGAAGATGGAAGAGGTAGACGTGCGTGACCAACCAATTTTCGGCATAAAGACCTTATAATGATACTGATGTATATTTTATGTAATTACAAAACTTTACTGATAGATTTATTTTTTACACGGTTTTTCTATTATTTCTATTATATAGTTGGGACGGTTAAAATTGGTGGTGTGCAATAAATTATCTGTGAAAATGGGCGTATCTTCTTTCTTATCTCCACTTGGAACTATAGTCATTTCCTGCGTTTTGAACATGTCCTTGTTAAGTTAGGAAACGCTTCATGAGTAGTGCAGACAAAGTGGAAAGCGATAACCAAATAGTTGTAAGCGGTGCAGCGATTATGAGTTGCTTAATTACGCAAAAGATCAGGACCTGCTTTATAACGGCCTGGTTCGATATTGAAGCAAACGTCTTTTCTTTCCTAAATTCCTGAGAATGTTGAACTTTCTTTAAAGTCCGATGCTGGCAACATGCTCAAATTCTGCCTGTCTGCATCTCTTTCTGTTACACATTAACTGGTGTAATTTTATCCCCTTACCTTTATTAGTTTTTACGATATTTCCTACAGCATGTGTCGCGAGGAAAAGTAGGCGTTCAGTCAGCAACCGCTCTAGACTGGTTAGTATACTTCGTTTAGTTTCTGTAGCGATGTGACTTTCAGTTTGACCGGCGCAAAGTAGAAAAGAACATCACTAGGCCAGGAAAGGACGGAGACAACTCTCGGCCAAACTCTTAGCCGGTGAGGAGCGTATAATCCGTAGTAATGCACGGAAAAATTGACCATTTTATCCACTACAATTGCATTGCTCAAATGTGCTGTTATTGGTACCATTTACTACTGAAAATATCAACGAGATGTGTATTTATATTTGGAAACATATAAATGACTTTAACGATTGTTTTCAACTACCATTACTATTCATAATTGAATAAAACTTTTGGCAGGTACTGTATGAAAAAGTATGTTTAATGAACAAGAGTCGAGAGTATAATGAGCTTTTTTCTTCCTACCTACGATTTTGCCAGTGCGCATCCATGACTATGGAAGGGGCACATCGCTACAGAAAGTAAATGAAGTATAACTATTTGGGAACAATAATCTAATCTAATTTTGCCTCTACCCCTACCAACTTCTATTTCTGCCTCTAATTTGTCACTGACTAGACTTTCATGCCTGAGAAGGTGTTCTACCAACCTATCTCGTCTATTCCTTACTGACTTTTATAGGGACCTCTGTTCCCATACTTCTTTTAATGCCTCGTTATTTCTAACCTTCTCTATACACGTTATCCTCATCATTCGCCTATAACACTACATTTCGAACGCTTCTAACCTTTTCTTTTCCGCCGCGCCCACTGTCCATATTTCGCACCCGTACAGTGTCGTGCTCCAGACATACACCTTCAACAACTTTTTTCGAATTTCTAAACTAACCGTTCGCGAGCATAAAAGTGACTTAATTTTATTGTATATAGATATATAAATATTTATCCAATAGCAATTATCGTTTATTTGTTATATTTGACTCAGTATACAAATAAATTGTTAAAGAATTGTTTATGAAATAACAACGTCAGTGTTTGCTGAAATCCAGTCTAAAAATGATGTTACCCTTTGAAAGGCGGTTGGTTCCCCAGCTTCACAACCACTACCACTTACAAATGCAGTTACACCAACCTGTAACAGAGACAACAATTGCAGTATTATTGTAATTATGTAAAGGTCTTCGAATTGATTTTATTAGATTTGTTGTCATTTGGTTCGTTTGATAAAAAAAGTTGTAATAAGCAATTTCCTGAATCGCAGTTCTTTCTTTTTGCAGAAACAAAAAATAGATCCGAATCCCTATCACACACAATCGTGATAGAAAGATAAGTATGTTAAGTAACTAATTTTTCGTTTTTTGTCTTCATAGGTGACTCAAAGGACAGTATAGATGGATAAATTTTCAAACATTTACGAACATTTTTTTAATGAAGTGTTACTTAATATGAGATTTTTCTAACTTGAAAGAAAGAGATGTGATTTGATCACGGTCAATGCCCTTATCCATTATCACCTATCTATCGCTGGTTGGTAGTGAAAGTTTCAGTGAAAAAGTGGTTCATAAATATACACACATTCACATGTGTTCAATTTAATATTGTCAAATTGATATGTATTTACCAATTTTCCACTGACGACAAGAGGTCCGCCTGAATCTCCAGAGCAAGCTCCTTTACGGCCTGCTCCTCCAGAACAAATGATTTTGTTTGTAACTTGCGAACCGAGCGCATCTCTGCACACGTTATTTGCAATAATGGAAACATTTATATATCGTAATACGTCACTGATACCGGGATTAGATTGAGAAGTGTATCCCCAACCACTTGCTACTGCTTGAGATCCTACGAAACTTTTTGAAACGTCAGCTCTACTTGGAAGTGCTATCAGTTGAACGTACTCTGTGAAAATTTTAAATTAGTTTGGTAAAAAAGCAAAGATAAATTACAGAATTTATAGGAACGTTTATAGAGAGTAGATTCGATCCAAGAAATGATTAGTGCAAAAATTAAATTACGGAAGAGATCACTTTAGAATGACTTTATTTCAACTTCTTCAAGCTTCCATTATATGTCTATTAAACCATCATTGGAAAACCTGAAGAAGTGAAAAAAAGTCCACGAAGCGGTGCCTATCGAATTGAAATTTAGTTTAGTATAAAGTAAATTATTACGATTGAGATTGGCTGGTGTTGGAAGATAGACGACGCCTAAATCATTCTGCGCTGGTTGATTATTATACTGTTCATGTACTTTGAACGTGGAGGTTGGAATGCGTTGTTGGGTAGATTCTCTTTGTTGAATGTTATGCGCTCCCAGAATTACTTCCAATGATACAAGGCTAATAAGAAAAAGAAAAAGCTAAAGTATATTGAGCAGTTAAGATAACAATTAAGAGCAAATTTCTTACTCATCTACCAAGCAATGTGCAGCAGTTAACACGTATCTTCTAGATATAAGGGATGCTCCGCAGAAACTCGTGTATGTATCGTAAATAAGCCTCAAAAAGACCTAAATAAATAAAAATATTTTAGTGTAGACCAGCAGTATAGCCCTGAAGGTATTCAAATTTATTCGCGCTGTACGTTCGCATCTCCAGTCCCATTAAATTCCATTTCTTTAAAATACTATATCTCACAGAATCTTTGCTAACCAAACTTTTGGAATCAGTATGATAGTTTTGATCAAGTAATTTTGAATGCTTACTTGATATGGTAAAGAGTTTTTCGAAGCTTCATTTCCTCCCACGATCTTTACTTCTTCAGAGGATGCAAGCTTATGAGGTCCTGTTGGAGCTATTTTATGAGTAGGTGTAACTTTAGACCAATCACTAGTTACGTGAGCCTGTAAAAATTATAAAATTAATTCGTAATTGATCTAGAGTACTAAATTAATACCACTACGTTACCGTAACTAAGGAAAATGTAATGAAAATTAAGCCAATTTCCTTCATCTCTGCTTCTGATACAGATACTGTAGATATCTCGTTAGAGACTCGTTTTATAAAGTTATCTTCAAAGTACTTCTGTTTGTCGATAAAATTCTTGATACGCTTTTGATCAGGTAGCATCGATTTGATAAAAGAAATGTTTTTAAATTTTTTAGGTAAATACGATGATCTTGTAATAAGTGTTGCCTAAAACAAATCTCTAAGATGTTCAAGTTAGTTTTGGAATTTGAAAACATCGTAAGGTAGTAAATATTAGGAAGGGAGTTTGATAAAATTTTTAATTGTAATATGAAGATGCGATTAACGCTATTAAATACAGGACGACTGTTTGAATCGGCAAATACGGATTAGCATGCTTAAGTTTGCGGAAGATACAGTGGTATAAGCATCTAGGAAGGGTAAATTATAGATGCCTTTATATAAAATACAAGCGGCATTGATATTACAATGTGGTACGAAAATTAATAGAAATAAAACAAAATTATTGGTACTTAGGGGATGCAAAGATAAGGTTAAAGCTATTATAAAAATTGGAGACGAGAAACTACAGGAAGAAATTTTCAATATATGGGGAGTCAGATATATAGGGTGGAAAATGCGTTGAAGATATGAAAGAAAAAAATAAGAACGCAGGGTCGGATCGCCTTTAATATAAATATGTCACTTTTGTGCTCTAGATAGATTCATTTGGAAATTGAAAAAGATTATTAAAAGTGTGTTTGGAGCACGGCTATGTATGGGTGGGAAATAGAAAGGATAGGCGCTGCGGAAAAGAAAAAGTTAGAAGTGTTCAGGATAAAAAATACCTTGTATAGAAAATGACCATTCTGTTTTATTTATTTTTTCTTAAGAAGGAAGGCCAAAAACATTTTAAATAACAACGTACTGTAACTATAATCAAACCAAAAAGAATAAAATTCATTTCTAAAATATCTTTGCGGGCATTCACTCTCGTCGCATCGTCTGTAGTGTGCGTTAGAAACGGAAGTGTCATAACGGAAACAGAAGTGGAAACTGAAGTAAACAGTAAATTTTTGCGGAATTTTTTTTAATTTGGTTGTGCGTCCTTTCCGCGAATAGTTCGTTACAAATTTTGCATTTAGCACTTGCATCGTTAACATCAACAAAATAATCCCAAATGGAACTCCTTTTTTGCTTCAAAATTTCACAGTAAACTTAAAATTTACACCACCGACGAAACACTATACAAAATAAATAAACGGTATGACTTAAATTTATATTATTAAAATTTAAAATCAAAATAGGAAACCAATAGAATGGAATACA